CATATAACTTTCTTAAAACAGCATAGTTCAAATTGCTCAATTGCTCTAAATATTTTTGAACTATGTTCAAGTATTGTTAAAAACTTTGAACTTTGGTTTTGAGAAACCTTCATAGTTTATAATCATTAAATGTAAGTTTAAAAATTTCAAGGTAAATTATTTTTGATTTTAATGCAAAGTTATAAAAGAGCCTGACAAAGGCACGACAAGCATATATGTAAAAGTATAAATTATAGAAATCATTACTGAAATATTAAATACGAATATAAAAAAATTTCAAGTACATAAATGAAAATATTTAATGTTAAACAATGTAACAAAAAGCTATTAACAAAAAAAAAATATATAAAAAAATTGTATTGAAATGTACTCAGCGAATAGTGAGTAATCGATTTTTTTCTTCTCCAAGTATTGTTGCTAAGTATTTCATATTTCGGTGATTTTCAATTGTTCGTTGAATATTTAATCAAACACAATAAATCACAACTTCTCGTTCGATTTGAGTATTGTCATCAAATTACAAGCAATATTTTCGGTTATTGCATTTTAATTTGGATAATTTATCAAAATGTCAAACAATATAAACACGTGTGTCGCAGCACAAGCAGCTCAAATAATACGCCATCAGCAGAAAATGTAGTCCAAGAAAAACTTAACTCAATAATGTAGTTCAGAAGACATTTAACATATTGGGGGACTATTACTCAATTACTCAAAGATTGGAATGCAATTAGAGGGTTCAATGCTACAATTACGGAAATGTGTCATTAAGTAATAGTATTTTAAGTCAATAACCTGCTTAAGTTAACATTATATTGGGAAAAATTGAATATTATTAATATTTTATGAGTTGATAATAGAGGCGGGATAAATACTTCATAATAACTTTAAATTGATTGTTTACAATTTGTATAAAAAGTAGAGCGAGAACTTTTCTAATGGACGACAAAACCCCTTTTTTGAGACCAACTTTTAAATGGTCCCCAAAACGTGAGCTGTCAATTTTTTGTATAAAAATAAAGAATCTGTTTATATACTATATATAAATAATTTCTTTATTAAAATTGTTTTGCTATAATGCTACAAAAAGCACATAATTCCAATATATTATATATAAAACTATCCGAAGAAGACACTTATATGTGTTTATATTAAAGAATAATGTAACCAATGAGCACGTTTTCGGATGTGTAATACCAATCTATGTTATCTAAATGGACAACTGACTAAAACCTACCGAAAACGAAATTCCTTTCTTCCATCTTTTGAAATAACACCTTTTAGGAGGAGATCCTCTTAAATGCACAAAAGTTTGATAACAATGAATCTCCGCCTAAAAATCTTTTCAGAGTACAGAATTTATTATTATGTAGAAAATATTATTAAACTGCTTGTTTGGTGTTTATTCAATATTATTGGTAAAGTTTTTGGTAAATTTTTCAATGAAGTTGTTAAGATTTTTGAGAAAAACTTACAATAATTTGCATCAAAGTTGTCAGGTTAAAGCATAGATTATATATAATAAATATGAATATCGGCGAATCTTAATCAAAAGAATGTGCTTTTATTCAGATCACACTGCTTTCTGGTCTTTGAAAATATATATCAAATCAAAAAATTTTTGTATCAACTTCTAATATTGTCAAAGAGCCATCAAAATATTGTGAAAATTAAATTAAACGTTTGTTTAATATTTTTTAACATTCTATATTTAGACTCTCCTTTAGATTCATCAACAGAACAAGAAATAAATAATAAACAGATTTTGGCAAAAATATCAACGAATGGGATGAATTTAGAATTATACACACCTGAGATGTCAGGAAACCAATCACAATAACAGAAACTTCCTTAAAGCACTTAGAGAATTATTTTTTTTTATTATTCTACGATAAGTATGTGAAGAATTGGATCAAGTACTGATATGTTATTTAGTTATATTACACTGGCGGCCTACGTTCTATGTAACGCTCCCGAAGAGTGCATGAAAAATATAAAATTTTGTATTAAAACTATAAAGAGGTTTTTCGAACAGTATGAACTACAACAACAAAAATTCATTTTATATTATTTTAATTAATTGAATTTTTGGCTGAGTATACAGCTGTTTCGCGTATTGACAAATAACCATCATCAGTGATCTTGGAAATAATTCTTGTATTTAATTATTCGTAAATAATTTTTTAAGACTGCAAGTACTCGGAATCGAACTCGTGCCCTGCCAAATTTAAAGCTCAGAGTCAGCGCACCTTAACCAACTGACTCAAAGCCGTACTTGGCTTCTATGTTCGCAAATTTTTCTGGAGTTTTGTTACTTTGTTAATATAAGATTTATTAACAAATTCACTTGCTGTGTTTATATTAGAACGATATCATAAGCCAGCTGTAGCATAATTGAATTAATTAATTATATTTTTATTTTTATATTAAAACTATACAAATATTTATTTACTTTGTTTAGTATAAATTATACAAATATTTGTTTGATTTGTATGGTACTCATTTCATATCTTTTAATAACCCCTTTGCTACTGTATAAATCTATGGAAACTTCAATAATACCCACACAATCATTATTTAATTTAATGCTTGTTTCATTCTTGAAGAAGATATGTGTCTATAAAAATAAAATATTTCTATGGATCAATTAATTTAATGAAACGTCTAGGGACAGCTTGTAAATTTTAATAAAAAATAAAATATTTTACATTTTTTCTGCCTAAAAATTTTGTCATTTTCCATTTTAAAAATTCTTTTTAATTTTTTTTGTTTTCTATATGAAAATTTTAAAATCAACGACCCTTAACAACTTTCAACAGCTTCTTAGGCTTTGTTTTGTAGATGTTTAGGTGTTTGAAGAATTTATTGAAAGAATTTGTTCCCCATCTAGTTAAAAAAATGATAAATCTTTAGTATTTCACACTTTTTCTTCGTGTCGGTTGTCATTTCCAATTTGACATTTTCATTTTTATCCAATGTAATGATAAATGACATTTGCCAGTGACTAGCAGAAAAAATTAAAAAAAATTAAAAAAAACAAAAAAAATGGAAAATCTTTTTTCCACTAAAGCAGTAACTCCGACATTTGTGCTAATGTTGCTGTCAATTTGAACCTTATTTTTGACATCGCAGCAACACCTAACAACAGCAATTTTGCATGTTACCAAAGGTAAATTTCTGCAATTTTGCAAAAAGAAAAAAAATCAAAGCAGGGGCGGGCGGCAGGTTAAAATAGTTAAGTTGACCGTTGTCAATTTGACGATACAACAATTTGCAATTTAAGTTAAAACGGTTAAATTGTATTTTGCAATTTTTTTTATGTAATAGATATGTTTAGAAATTAAAAAAAAAAAGTATATAATCATATATGGTATACAGCCAATATATTGTCAATTAAGCTACTTAAGCCCCACTTAAACCATTCTGAATCATACCTCACACTGGGTTTCATGGCATTCCCTTTGTCTGCCTTAAATGGAGTGTGCAATTTAATAATTCATACTGCACTCGTAAGCGACTCACATCAACTATGGAACCCCTAATTATATTTACTGCACGTGTATAAATCTGAAAAAAAAAACAGAAAATCTCAACATCAAATTCTATTTCAATTAAGCAATTCAGTTCACTGAACGCCATCATGCTCACGCCTCGGTTGGAGGTATTTCACACATTTGCTAAATATCGGAAAGTGACCATCACATTAAATTATGGATCAATGTGCTAACATGTAAACAATAACGTCTCATACAACCATTTAAGCAGAATTTAATTAAACTTTCTAAATGTAACGAGTGCATATATGACTGTACATATTCATAAGAAATAAGAAATCATTAAAGATCTTCTTCATCAATCATAAAAATCACATTAAAATGCCATAAAATATTCTGAAGAAAAGACCGAATCGGTCACACAGTAATTTTTTTTTTTTTGTATTTTTATTCATAAGTCACGCGACACAATACAATCCTAAAAGCGTAAGATAATTGACAATTTAAGTAAAACCAACGCAAAACAACAACCAAAACAATAGCACAACAGCACAATAACTCCAAAACCACAGAACCACAGAACCCACGAACACATTATGCGCTTCTTTACGATTTTATCGGTCTGGTATGGTAACACTTTTTCAAGTTATAAAAAATATTTTATTATACTCGTATGTATGAGTATTTTATGTAAAACGTTTATGATGATTTTCGGCATCTGTCAGAATTTGAAATATTTTTAGGTCATGTGCTAATAGACGTGAAGAGACAAACAAGAAATCACAAAGAAGCATCCAAACCAAATTTAATTTCAAATAATGAATGAAATGATTCGTATGCTTACATACTCTATATATACTTCTATATTTAGGTATATAAAAATGTATGTGAGTATATTTAGTATAAATTGAAGATAAAAATTTTGAAATGATTCATGCATTCACACCGTATAAATGTAGAAATTACAAAAAAAGATTTGTAAAAAACCCATGAAGCGGTACCCATAAACGTCATAAGAAATAATTTACTCACACCAAAAATAAACTCACGCCTCAATTAAATAACGTTTAGGCATTTATTATGGAAAGTAAGACCTTAAATTATGGATTTCTACGTGAAAACGTAACTGTAGTCAAAAAATGAAGAGCAATAAAAAAAGATTAAGACCAAAAAACTTTATTCAAATTTTGTTAAGTGTCATCTAATTAATAAGAAATAAATTTAATAGTTTAGGAAATTTTTTTTTCTTCTTATAATAAACAAATTTAAAAATCTCTAAGAAAAATAATTTTTATAAGAAATTAATTCATATTATAAGTAAAGATCAACACCAAAAAATATTACTGTTCTGCGAATTATCACCCAATTCATAAGATATATGTATATTTCATATATTAGGTTAATTTTTTACATGTTTTTTTTTGTTATAAAAGACATTTAAAAATCTCTAGAAAATTTTTATAGAAAAATAATTTATATTATAAATAAAGATCAAAACCAAAAAATTATAGTTCTGTTAATTATCATCCAATTAATAAGACATATATTTCATATATTCGGTTTATTTTTTTAATATTTTTTTTTTCGTATAAAAAATAATTTTAAAAATCTCTTCAAAAATAATTTTTATTAGAAATTAATTTATATTAAATTACATTCCATTACTGTTTTGAACATAGGGATTTACTAAGAGATATTATTCTATTATATTGTCGTGTAAGTCCCCTAGGGCCACGGTTGCCACTTGAAAATTTTTTTCTGTACCAAAATTGGTTTAAAAAGGTACCATTTCTGTAAAAAAAGGTCCAAAATTTTTCTATTGTCTTTTTATAAGAAAATACAATTTATATAAAATGTACAAAAAGTATAAAACAATACAATATCCACATTAAAGTTGGGTCGCCGAAAATGTACCATTTTTTGAACATGAGTACCAGAGTACCAAACGGAAAAAAAAGTACCAATTTTGGTACTAAAGTACCATAAGTGGCAACCGTGCCTAGGGCTTACAATCATTTCAAACATTCAAGATTATATTTGAGGAGAGCTCTTGTGACCTGTAAAGGACCTGTAAAAAATAAATCCCAAGCTAAATCCCAATTGCTAGTTGCTAATTTATGTCAATAAAAATATAGTTAAACCTTCATATAACGAATTCCTCTCTATAACGAAGTTTTGTTGAAGACACAACGATTTTCATATATTTGAACCTCTCTATTGCGAATCTTTCTATAACGAACCTCTCTATAACGCAGTGTTTTGCTGGCATCAACGAGAGAGGTTTGGCTGTAATATAAAATATAAATATAAAAAATAAATATATTTAAATAAAATAAAAGAAATATATAAATTAAATTCTGTATTGTGGTAGCTATAAATTCTTCTTATAAAGCATGTCATTATAGATCAAATATTTATTATTACTGTTTTTATTTAGTTAGTTTACTGAATTAATTGAATTAATTAATTAATTATATTTTTTTTTTTATTTTTAATTAATCAATTAAAATTTATATTGTTGGCTTTACACCATCGGGTGGGGATTATAACTATGCTAAAACTTATCACAATACTTCATTATCTTTCGTAAGTGAGGACCCAATTATTTCTACTAATTTTCTTTCATGTGTGATGTCATTCACATGAAACTCCTTCCTCGAAGTTGTATTTTTAGCTTCTAGAACACAAAACTTACATTTTCTAGGCGAGATAAGATTTAGACGTTGCTGCATCAGGAATATTGCGTAAAAATAATCGTTTAATGTTTGAAATAAATGAAAATACAGAAGTTTTTCAATTGTAGTGAGTTACTACAGCAAAATTTTATTTTTTTAAATCAATTGGTATTACCAAATACCCAACAACAGTGGAATTATTATCTTTTTGGAAATATCATTATAAATATTTTTTTAAGAGCTTTTGTTTTGTTTGTTATGCTTACTATACATATATAATTATTTTTAAAGTACTTTACTTACTCAAATATTCTATGAAGTAATGAATTGTTTTATAACATGAAAAAATAAATTATAATTGCAGTATTTCTGGCATGCGCTGCTATCTACTCATATGAAAAAAAAACGAATTAATTTTGGAGTGCTAACACTTAAAATTATGAAGTTGAAAAATAAAATGCAATTAAAAATATTGCAGAGACACATTAACAATCTTCTTACACAGCAAAATTACAGCAAACAATCTAAAGGATTTATGCTGGGTATTTACAGCCAAACTGCGGTTCCTTGAACTCCTTTTTAATTATTCTCATATATATTCCACTCTTTTTACTACTGCATAAAATCTTCGACTCCTTTTGAATTTCAACAACAATTAATAATTGCTTTAT